CATGCCACCAAAGATTCAGCCCCGTAGCTTTTGCCGGTCTCGAGATGAAAAATCGGTACAGACGAACACACAGACAGACAGACCGACACACACACACGCACACGCAGACAACCTCTCGTCAATATGCGTTTTCTGCATTGCATAGATGCAAAAAACGCATAAAAAAACAACTGGTGACACGTACTAGGGAGGCCCATGCGATCATGCGTTTTTGCAGTACTTCGTGCTATAAGATTGCCTGTAGTAGGTAAAACTTGTGACATGCTGGTCCTCGAATCTCGGGAAGATAATTGTGCAACTATCATGTGGTAGTTGGAGAGGGAAGATTTTGTTAAAATTTCAACTTTTTTGTTCCCGCGTCAGCGATTTTCCCGCCAAAAACTTTCACGAGGCAATCGTATCACGTGCAACAAGGAGCTGAATCTGAAAACTTCGAGTTCCAAGTGGGCTGGGAAAATTCCCTTAAAATTTCAATTTCTCAGATTTCCTGGTTCCCCAGTTAGCAGTTTTCTTGGCAAAAATTTTTACGGAGCCATGCGTGAGAAATACCCGCACCTGGAGCCTGAATTTGGAATTTTCGAGTTCAGTTTGGACGAGAAATATCTCCCCGAAATTTCAGCCTCCCACCTTTTCTGGTTCCTGAGTTAGCAATTTTCTCTTCAAAAACTTTCACGGGCCATACTTTAGCACCACGCATAACAAGGAGCTGAATTTGAAATCTTTATGTTTTATGTGGCCTGGGAAAACCCACTGAAAATCTCAGCCTCCCAACATTTTTGGTTCCCAAGTTAGCGGTTTTCTCGCTAAAACTTTAACGTGGCCGTACGCGGAGCCCAGACGTGTGTGAGGGTTGGTGCAACGGTCTTGGAGTGGCAATTTGTCGGAGAACCTGCTGGCAAAATTTTGACGCCGGAGCTTGCGTGATTGCTGAGTTGAAATGCCCAGGCAGATGTGTGCACGCACACACACACACGCACACACACACGCACACACACATACATACACACCGGGATCGTCACAGTATGCGTTTTTACTGCTGTAGCAACGCTATAGCACTGCACAGCAAAAAAGCATGATTACTCTGGCCCATCCTGTCACTATTTAATTAGCATGTCAGAACTGCTTGTACAATTTCAAAGATGGCACAGATGCACCGCTGGATCCACTGGGTTTTATTTTCTAGTGTGCTCACAGTGGCATCCTTTACGCTATTCATCTGTCGAAGAATCCGAGTATAAGTGCTTAATATGGTCACGAAAAGGCACTTCAAGCATCGTTGCTTCACTGCTCTCTCCATCACAGCCAGCCCTCACTGCCCTGTTTATGTCAGTAACCACGTTTTGCATTCACACATACTCATCTTTGTTTTCGTGTCTTCCGAAAACTCTTTTCATATTTTCCCTTATTTTCCAGAAATCTTTTCTTCTGATAACCCTTATTTCACCGATTTCATATTTGTAGAGCATTCTAGGCCTTTCTTGATGCTTTTTGCTGTGATTCATTTTGCTCTCTCTACATCTAACTTTTTTCCAATCTTTCTAACTCTGTTGATATTCCCACAATCAATGTATGTTCCTCGACTTGCTGCTGTTTTTTCGAGAACAGTTTTTCCGTTGAAATTATTAAAAAGAATCGAAGAAGGACTCACAGATGGCGATGATTTGCCGGTGACTATCGACGTAATCGGCGATTTCTTGGCCGTCATTTCTTCCGCTTGAATCTTAGCAGTAACTTCAGCAGCCGCAACAGCGGCAGCAGTGGGCAGATTGACTGTCGAAGTGGGAACAATGTATGTTAGTGCGTCCGGCGGAGTGATACATTTGCCGACACGCAAAAATTGCCCGCCCAAGTCGAACATGTTCATACCAGCAATAGCTTCGGCCGCCGACTGCGCATTACTGAACTCCAAATATCCAAAACCCCTGCAAAATACAAATTAACATCTCTTCCCAGTCGCTATTACTAAAAACCCAGCAATCTCGTCAACTCCCGAGGGGGAAATTGTGTAAGTTTTTTTAACAGTTTCGAGCGAACCCAGTGGAAAGGGCCCAGATGGTGTCCGAAAACAAAAAGTCCAGGATCCCTCTGCCCAAAATTTCGCAAATTACCTGTGTCCACTGCCAGCATTCGGACCAGTAGCTCGTGCAAGCTGACATTTTGTTACTTCACCGAATGCTTC